ATACTTCATGCCGGTTTCTTGTTTGTTTTATAGTTCAATCCTGAAGATGGAGTCAAAATGAAACTTTCAGTAGACTATATAACGCAGAAAGAGACCTCATAACCAGCACTCTCTGAACCTAACCCCACGGAGATGAGCTCATCCTTAGAAGCTGTCAGTTGTGCAGCTACCCAAGAATTTCTAAATATTTTATGCAAACTGAAAGTTCATTGACGTGTTCACAAGAGCCCTCCCTTGATCCTTATTATCAACCAATCAATACAGTCTATATTGCAACATCTTTAAGATTCAATTTAATATTATCCATCCCCTTAAGTTTTCGTCTTCCTTGTGGTCTCTCGCTTTCTGATTTTCCCACCAATATCCTATACGCATTGCTCTTCCACTTATTCATGCTACATGCCCTGTCCACCTCATTCTCCTTGACTTGATCATTCTAATTATACTTCGAGAGGAGTACAAGTTATGAAGTTCCTCATTATGCAGTTTCTTTCCAACCTCCTGTCAGTTCATCTCCCTTCGGTCCAAATATTCTCCTCAACACCCTGTTCTCAAACACCCTCAGTCTATGTTCCTCCCTTAATGTCAGAGACAAAGTTTATGCCCGTACAGAATCACAGCAAAATTATAATTTTGTTTACTCTACTCTTTACGTTTTCAGACAGCAGACGAGAAGACAAAAGCTTCTGGGCCGAATGGTAGCAAGAATTACCAGAGTTCAATCTCCTCTTAATTTCCTCCTGAATCAGGTTTTGATTTGTTACAGTCGTTCCCAAATATCTGAACTGTGCCACATTTTCAAAACATCTGTTTCATATCATAATGTTATGATTTTGCCCTGCATTTTGGTGACGAGATAGCAACATACACTAAGTTTCCTCTTGGTCGCGTCGTAGCTCAAGCGGTTAGTCGCTGGCGTCCCACCGCGGTGGCGCGATTTCGATCCCGGGTCTGGTCAAGTGGGACTTGTGGTGGGCAAAGTGGCATTGGGGCAGATTTTCTCCGAGTACTTCGGTTCCCCTGCCAATCTTCATTCCACCAACTGCTCCACAATCACCCTCACCTATCATCTGGGGCTGGTACAATAGACCAGAAGTGGCCGCAGTACAAGGGACTTAGTCCCACCCCATTAGCAATAAAAGACAACAGTTTTCTCTGTGTTTACTTCTAGACCAACCTCCTTACTGGCGTCAATTCAAGTTTCTATTCCTTTCTTTGTGACCTTTGTTTTATCTCCCAGTAGATTCACGACGGCAGCATAGATCAGCAGCTGATGTGTGTCTATAATCCTACGTAGGAGATTAGCGTTTTCTAGAACATGTTGCCGTGTAGTCTGGTAGATACTGTGACATATAGACGCATTTATAGGCAACATTTAAAATTAATTACCAGACTATACGACCCAACAACCTATAAGGGACTAATTTTCACATTCCGTTCCCAAATCACCTCGAACAGTCCAATTTGAGATACATTATATATACATATGTAATATTCCGGAGTGGGTCCTAGGTTCGATCCCAACAGTCGCCTCTTTTCGTGAAACAAGATACCATAAAGTGGAAGGGTGGACAGTCGTCAAGGACCAGAGGGGCAGGTACCCACGAATATTTAACGTTTGACGAGTATAAAAGTAGTTCGATGCATTTCGGCTTTGTTTGTAAGTAGCGCAGCAAGTAAAATCTTCCACGACTCACGACATTCCTTGAGTTTCGAAAACTTGCTGCAAACCGCCCTTTGGGGCCCTAGTTTGACGCTGAATTTGATGACAATTTCAAAGACTTTTCCTTCTTTCTCTTTTTAATGCCACGATTAAAAATAAACGTAACCCTGTAACAGGGCATGGAGGCCCATAGGGTTTTGAGACGTCGAGGCTCCCACATTTTCTAGACAATCGGCTCACAAATGGCGGTGAGCTTGTCTAGCCTTAGGCGCCTGCCACCCTTTTCCACTTCAAATGCTTACATATGCTGATAAATCCAATTGCAGACTCTATTATCTGAATTTCATTGCAGGATGTTCTTTTGGGGAGGGGGGGTGATACCGTGTGTTCTGGTCGATATTAAAAAGATTTTTCGGAGGAATTTAATACTTCCTTCTTCAAGGTATAAAAGTAAGATGAATATTGTAAAAATAGTAGGGATATAGGGAGAGGACGTGTCTTTAGGTGTCTTGCGCGAACAATGGGCATAAGGAGAGCAGTCAAATTTTATTGAGCCCCAAAATATTCGTCATATGGATAGAAACTATAACGGCCACAGTCACGTGCATGAGGACTTCAAATGTCGTACAGATTTCAACGTATTTAAAAGTGGCCTTGCTCATGATGTCGCTGCAACTACGTGAATCTTGTGGCTGGCTAGCGGACACTAGCATACAGACCGGTACTGAACCTCAGGTACGGGATTTTTGGGGGCAATAAATTTCTTGCGCGTCCGACATTTCTTGGCTACAAAATCAACTACTTGCAAAATACTTAAACTCAAAAACATGCTAAGTCCTAAAGCTACAGATCCACCGATATCAGCACACTAGAGTTGACAGAATGAAATATGCCCAGAAGCACAATAGACCACTGTAGGTCGCGGTGCAAGGGCCGAGAAGGCCCACCCCTTATACATTCATTCAGTCATTCATGAAATATTCCCTATTTGGTGCTGCTCCCTGGAGGTACGCTATGAACATACATCTTGAAAGAAGCATAGTGCAGTACAGTCTCAAGTACATTGATGGTTTCTGAGGGAATCTTCTGTCCCTTATTGAAGTTTTGCTACCACTCCTATGACTAATAACAAAGAATAGCAAACATTAATGCACTGTATACAATTCCTGGATACCAGCCAATGATATATGTAAAATACTGACCGAAATAATAGTAATAAAAATTGGAACATTACTGAGTAACCCATCACGCAAATAAGCATGAATTAAACGAATTTGTGACTGTAGGATTGAATGGTTTCCGTGCAAATAAATCATTTATGACTACAAATTACGTTCATGAATTTATTTCAATTTGAGAAATAGCAGGTTAATTAAAATATTTCTATCTATCTACCTATCTATCTATCTGTCTGTCTGTCTATCTATTTATCTATTCATCTATCTATCCATCCATCTACCTACCTATCTATGGCTCTACAGCGCTTGTGGACCTTGGCCGCTTTTTCAGGTTCTTAATCCTATACAAAGTTGGTAGGGCTCCTTGGACGGGGGATCAGCCAGTCGCAAGGCCGCTACACACACACAGAACAACACCAACACAGAATAAACGCACACATACATCCGTGCCTCGAGTGGGATTCGAACCCACGATCCCAGTGTTCGAGCGGGCAAAGGCGATTCATGCCTTAGATCGCGCAGCCACTGTGTTCGGTTATTTTCCAAGGTACCCACATGTATTTTGCACCGGGTTCAATCTCCCCATAATAAAGCCTTTCTTATGGGTACCAGGGTGTAAATTACCTTTCGCCCTGCAATTACAACTTCATCGTTATAAAGTAATTCTCGTTAACAAAATGGATGTGTAATTAGAAGTTTGTCGTTAAATTTGTATTTGATTTGATCGAAAATAACACGTGTTTTTTATTTGGCTTGAACGCAATTTATTCACAGTGTTAGGCAATGATTGACTTTGCATTATTATCTGTCATTCTAACTATTCCTGTGTTGAATTTTTGGATAACAAAAAAACAAACAAAATAATCCGTGGTTTCATTCAGGAAGCGAACTATACCGACCGAGCAACCGCCACTTTTCGGCAAAGTTAGCTGAATTATTGGGTAACTTAAAATAATTGTCAAATGACGTGTATATAGCCTAATTTTTAACTTTAAATTAATTCGTCAGACAAGCCTTTATCAGATTTAATTAAATAGATACATTTATTCACATTTACATCCATACATAGGTTTGAGCCTCGTCAGTTTCTTAACCTTGAGAAGTGCTTCCGCATGTACCTATATGTAATTGGGAATAAATATATTTATTTTACGTGATGAAGGTTTATAGATCATAACTTCATTATATAGGCTTACGCCGGCTCTTACGTCAGGTATGTTTAGTTCGTTCAACAAGTCACAAAAAACCACTCTAGGAACATCGCAAGACACAATCGACGTTCTGAATTACACCAGATAAGTCACAACAGCCTTTAGATCCATACCTCATTGGCTTCTACGTCACATTAATGTTAATTACTACTGACAATTTATGGTTAGATCGATTTTAAACGACTCGCGTAAAAAAATATGATTTATGTAAAATAATTTATAAATTTCTTTTTCATCATTAAACCCCTGTAATAACGAATTGTTATGATGACTTCTATCAAAGTAAGCAGTCATAACTTAGTCTAACCTAACCTAACTTACAAAATTACGAAGGTCACTACGGAGTGTCCCACGAGGAATGGTCAATATTCTGGGAGGTCACAGTATCGGTCATTCTAAGCAAAAAAAATATATACGTAAATGTGTCCTATTCCGAACGGTTTCTGAGATAAAGCAACACGAGTTGCAAGTGCATTGATGTTGACGGTGGAATTTTCGAAAATGTATTAAACTAGGTAAACTGTACCAACTTTGTCACTTGAACTATAAATACCGGTATTAGAAACAGTTCGTAATATCTCTTTCTTATCAACAGTTCTGGAACTGTACAGTGAAATACCTCGGAAACCGTTCGGAATATGACACATGTACATACAGACTTTTATGCTTTGAATGACCGATACTATGACCTCCCAGAGTATTGACCTTTCCTTCAGGGACATCCTGTATATAGGACTGTATTAATGACAGAACGNAAATACCTCGGAAACCGTTCGGAATAGGACACGTGTGCATATACACTTTTATGCTTTGAATGACCGATACTATGACCTCCCGGATTGCTGGCTCTTCTTCCTGAGGCATTCTGTATAGTTTAGCTACTGACAGCGTTGTGACTGAAGCAACGCATGTTACGCTATGAGATCTGAGATTCTTACTATTGCTGATTCACTGGAGTTCTTTGGTGCCANCCAAGGGATCCTGGGGGTCCAGCCCAGGGTGAGATTGTATAAGGACATCAGGACGCCGTACCCCTCCATACTCCCTGCCTCTGTTCGACTCGTATGGGAATGAGGCGTGCATGTTCGTCTGAAACAGAACAGAGCAGTGTTTCTTAATTACGCTATATCAACTACAGTGTTCACTGTACAAAATATAAGCCCCAAAAAACAGGTCGGAAAAAATCTCTCGTCGTGTTCATTCGTAAAGGGCGAAATGACCAACGTTGGTGAGTGGAAAAAATCTTTCAATTTATTTGTCAATAATCTTTTCGACTCTCTTTGTTATGCCTCAACAAATGAAGATGAACAGCGATCAGTGAGAGATGGGCTACGGGAAGGTTTGTCTCGAGATATCGCAACTGACTTCTGTTCTAGAGGTACTCGATTGGTACGTCAGATAACACAACGATTATCCTCAGCTCCTCCCGGAAAATGCAAAGGTAACACCTCCATTAATCCATGACTGCTTCATTCCAAATATTTAAATTTAGCTTTCGTAGGACATCCAACAATTCGACGCTGAATAAAAGAAGACCCCGATACTTTGTGACGATGACATAAAAGGTAAAGCTGTACCTGTGCTTAAATAATTAAGCACTAACCATGAAGGCTTATAGGGAAGTGAATTTATATATCCACAATTTCTTGAACTTGGCACTTGCAGGAGGTTAGTGCTCAGCTTCACGTCCCAGCCCTCTTTACCCCCGGGGGAAATCGCCCCCAGTACCCAGTGAATATGAGGCCGAATTGGACCCAGAGCCGGTCTGGACAACATGGGGAAGAGAGAATTCTTGACACTAAAGGGACTCGAACTGTGACCCCTCGGTCTTTCAGCCTGTAGCCAGTCGCTATACCGATTGAGGTATCTCAGCTCCTGAAGATGATATATATTAATACAACGATAAACTTTCTGGTCATTATCCATCGTCCTGCTTTTATTTAAAACACATCATTCCGGGGACTGGATTCTGTCTTCGTCTTCAAGTGGAATCCACTCAGTTGGGCCCCATCGAAAGAGCTAGGCCCCCGTCTCCGCAAACGAGAAGCAACACGAAGCAGGACATATAAACCAAACACAGCATGAACCATCGGCGGGAGTTAAGGCAACCATTTCAAAAACGTCACGTTCATGAGGCCTTGTAACTATTTCAGTGCATATTGCAAGGTAGAGATAGCATGAAAACAGAGTATTATCAAAATAGACGCCAAAACTAAAGAGTAATTTATACGATCAATGTCAGGACATGGCCTATAGATCTGTAAATCCGGAGATAACTGCCGTTAATCTCCATAATTCACAAATCAGCACAGCACAAGCTATACATTTTCCAGTCTGCTATATCTTCACCAGCCGTTCCCTGGAAACGGCTTCTAAGATTAAAGATTCTTCAGCTTTCAGCGCTCAGGTTCTATCTTCACAGCCTCCCGTGTAGAACTGAACTCATTATCAATTTAACTGGGCTCCCTGTTTGTAACATCTCGTCAAGTTTAACGTAGAAAAGCTCTTTCTTCTATTGCTGCTTGCGTTACCTAGCAACGGGTCTAGACGTCACAATATTGTTCATAGTCACCGCTGTGATAACCTCGAATAAAACATATATCACACATTGTCAAACACCGATCGAGAGGACCTAATTCCGATTTTGAAAGTAACTTTTGTGCAGCTTTCCATGGGTATGGCATAAACAATGCGACAAAATTAAGAAAGTGACAGTGGCGTTCTCGATTATCACTGCGATTGGTGTGAAAAACTTGCACTCTTTTCCAAGCACAATTAGAATGATCAAGTCAAGGAGCATGAGATGGGCGGTGTAGGTAGCACGAAAGAGGGCGAAGCTAAATACTTGTGGGATATTGGTGGGAAAGTCAGAACGAAAGAGGCCACTATGAAGACCAAGACATAGGTGGGTGGACAATATTAAAACGAATCTTAAACAGGATGAGATGATATGGACTGGATCGATCTGGCTCAGGAAAGGGATTAGTAGAGGGCTCTTGTGAACCGGTGATGAACCTTCTGGTTGCGTCAAATATTGGGAAGTTCTTGGGTAGCTACATAACTGGTGGTTTCGGAAGAAGGGCTCAGTTCCATGGAATTAGAAGTTAGTTGGTATGGAAATTCCCATCTTGTTGGAACATAAGCTATGTCCTCTGGTTGAATCTTAGTGATTTTTCGAATGAATATTTGCTTCCATCTTCAGGGTCTTTTTAAACCCGAAGATTTGGAATACGTCCTCAAATATCTACCAGATGTGCAGAATCTCATCATACACAAAGCTGTCTTCTCTATTTATATTTTGCATTTATAATGGACAAAAATAGTTTGAGATAAATTTCATTGGTTCCCGCCCATGGACCTATTGACGATACACATGAACGGTCACGTTTAGCCTGAAGATAGAGGCTCCATGTACATTCGAAACGTAGGCAACACTGCCTACATCCATATCCACACGAGGAGTATGGTCACCAGTGAGAGGGAACAATGAAATTTTACTATAGAACCAAGCAGTACGGTGATTAAAAAAAGTTCAGCAACATTGAATTCAGTTTTTCAAGTATCCAAACAGCGACTCGATGGGCCTTCCATCCAAGCGTAACAGTACCTGACTATTATGAAGATGTTTTAAATGTAGTTTACAGAATTATTCATATTAATTTTTAAGACTAGCAGAAGTGGAATTATGCAGTTCTTTGTAAATAAAACTTGGGTTGAATGAACTACTGTATTACAATATGCTACGTAGCATTGTGACTTTGGGTTCTCAAGTATTTGTACTGGAGGCTGAACAATGGGACAAATGAATGACAGTCACTACAGGTGGCTTTGTCCGGACAGCTCCTTGGGTTTGGCACTTTCAAAAGATGTACGCCAAAGTAAATGCGAGGCCACTAGTTTCAAGAACTCTGAGAACATAAAACTGCGGTGTGTGACAGGCAATATTGACACACACAGACAGACTACTCCCAAGTGTTTCTGACAGCAATTACGCGCCACAATCCGTTTCTAACCACAACTTCCTCCTCTTCTGCAAGTGCTTTCTAAATCTTTACTCAGAGAAGTGGCCGGCAGGTTAGACAGTCGAAGGTCTGTACCATCAGAACATGATACAGGACAACACTGGAAAATATCCTTAACCTAATTCGAACCTGCGTTCAAATTTTTCGAGCAGTCCGTGTCCTCTGTCCACAAGCACAAAATTCTCAAATATGAATTTTACAGTGTTATAACACGGCTCACTGTTCCTGGCTACGGATCCAGAGGTCCCGGTTTCGATTCCCGGCCCTAGTAGATGTTCTGATAAGAAGTGTGGTCCACTCAGCCTTGTGAGGATATCTGAGGAGCTATTTCAAGGAAATAGCGGCTCCGGTATAGAAAACCGAGATTAACGGCACTGGGGAACCGTTCCGCTGACCACGTGACACCATCTATCGGCAAAATTTCGCACTAACTTCTTCGACAAGCGGCGGTCGCTTGGCCGGTATAGTTCGCTTGCGGACCACAGGCCACGGAGTTTTTGTTTTTACAACACAGTTCTCACACAATTCGCCTGTACTGCCAAATGCACATAGTTGCGGTAAAAAAAATACAGGGAATATTGGGGGGGGGGCTCTG